CCCTCATCGGCAGACTGATATGCTTCAGGTCAGGCAATACCAGGCCAAGGATTGTGCGCACCGTCAGGATGGCGTTTGCTGGGACAAATGTTAGTTTGTCCCAGCCGGATATAATGCAAAAACTGACGGAGCGCATAGACGACCTGAAGCAGAGAATCGCTGCTTGGGGAAAGCGAATTCGGCGATATACCGAGAGGTCGACACGGTTCAACCAGAATCGTCTCTTCCAGAGTGATCAGAAGAGGCTCTATAAATCATTGGAGCGACCAATAGTAAGTGGAACGGGCCCAGTACCGAATCAGGCCGACACGGTCGCATTCTGGCGCAGCCTGTGGTCAGAGCCCGTAAACCACAATGAGGGCCCTTGGACGGAAGTTGTGGCGAGTCAGTGTGTGGGTATTACGCCCATGGACCCCGTCACCATAACGCCGGATGACGTAGCTGAGGCGGTCCGTAGGGCCCCCGAACTGGAAAAGTCCTGCATCACTACTGGCTGAAGGGGTTCGTGGTGTGTCACACTGTGCTCGCCCGACAGTTTCAAGAGGTTCTCAACCAGAAGTCGCTCCCGAGCCTCTTCACTACTGGGATCACCCATTTGGTTCCTAAAGGCCAGGGTACCACAGACCCGAGCAAATACCGCCCCATCACATGTCTACCGACCATATACAAGACACTAACATCCATTTTGAGCGCGAGAATCACTCGTCACCTGGACTCAAATCAGATGGAAAAAATGGCTCAAAATGGATGTCAGGGTGGCGGTCGTGGAACCAAGGAACCACTCCTCATTGACGCGGTCATTGGCAAAGTGGTGAAACGCAACCGTCGGTACTTCTCCGCCGCCTGGATAGACTACAGAAAGGCGTTCGACTCGGTGCCCCATACATGGCTAAAGAGAGTCCTCGAACTGTACAAGATAGACTGTACAGTTAGAGACTTCCTTGAGCAGTGTATGGGGCAGTGGAGTACGATCTTTTGTCATCTGGGCGAGCGGATGATGGCTGCGGAGAACCACATAAGGATAAGAAGCGGTATCTTCCAGGGCGATTGTCTGAGTCCAATATGGTTCTGCCTCTCTCTGAACCCTCTCAGTACCTTACTGGAGGGCTCCGGGAGGGGATTTCAGCTAAGGAAAGGAGGGACAAAAGTGACCCACCTTTTCTATATGGATGACCTCAAGTTATTCGCCTCCAGTGGCTCCCATCTTATGGAACTGCTAAACATCACTTGTGAATTTAGCAATTCCATTGGAATGGAGTTGGGGACGGATAAGTGTGCGGTACTCCATGTTGAAAGGGGAAGGGTTGCTAACTCTGAGGGCATAGACTTATCTATGCCCGTCAACTTAAGGACCCTTTCCGAGGCTGAAACATACCGATACCTGGGTATGTCACAGAACATCGGTATCGATGAGGCTGGTATGAAACAGTCAGTTTGCGACGTGTTTTATGCACGCTTGACCAAAGTGCTTAACAGCCTTTTGTCCGGTGTAAATAAGGCACAAGCATATAACGGCTGGGTCATGCCTGTCCTCATGTATACCTTTGGCATACTCAGGTGGACTCAGACTGAACTTAACGCCCTGGATAGAAAAGTCCGCACTACCATGACGTCCCATAGGATGCATCATCCGAGATCGTCGGTAATGAGGCTGTACTTGCCGCGAAAGCATGGTGGGCGTGGCTTCTTGAGCGCGCTCACCATGCATAATCGCGAAGTGTGCAGCCTCCGTAATTACTTCCTGGCGAGAACGGATGATCCATTCTATAAGGACGTCATTTCTTGTGATAAAGGACTTACCCCTCTATCCTTAGCCAACGAGCAATGGCAAGACCCGGCAGTGCAGACAATTTCCGACCGGGAGACCGTATGGAAGGAAAAGGAGCTCCACGGGAGGTTCTACAAGTCTCTACATGGGCCTTTCGTAGACACAGTAACCTCCCTCCACTGGCTACGCTTTGGTGATCTCTTCGGGGAAACCGAGGGTTTTGTCTGTGCAATACAGGATCAGGTTATTAAGACCAACAACTATCGGAGATACATCCTAAAGGATGGCACCATCGACATCTGTCGAGCTTGTCGCCATCCCGGTGAGTCACTTAGGCATGTCATCTCCGGTTGTTCGGCGCTTTCTAACTCTGAGTACTTGCACAGGCACAACCTAGTAGCCAGAATTCTACACCAGGAGCTCGCTCTGAAATACGGTTTCGTGGATCGGAAGTTGCCGTATTACAAGTACAAGTACAAGTTTACGTCAGACAGGACATCTGTTCTCGACGCCTCGGCAGACTTGAAGGTTCGGACCTGTCCATCCTTTGGCTACGCGTAGACAGCGACGACCATCCGCGCGTCTACGGGTGCCTCTATAGGTCCCATAGCGGTAATGCCGAAACAGACCGACTCTTTGACCACGTCCAAATGGCTGCAGATTCGTTGCTACAGCAGATCCCCTCCGCTGAGATCGTGATCCTCGGCGACTTTAACGCCCATCACGCCGAATGGCTTGGTTCACGTTTAACCGATCATGCGGGGAGATCTGTTCATAATTTTGCCTTGGCATATGGTCTGACACAACTGGTTTCTTCGCCTACGCGGATCCCAGATGTGGAGGATCATGCACCTTCCCTGTTGGACCTTCTGCTGACCTCTCACCCGGACGGATATCAGATTTCCGTCGACGCCCCTTTAGGCTCCTCGGACCATTGTCTGGTCCGGAGTGTTGTGCCACTCACGCTGAAATCGCGGTTGCATTCTGCAGGCTGCCGCCGTGTTTGGCACTATAGGTCAGCCGATTGGGATGGGATGCGGTCTTTCTTTGCATCCTACCCTTGGGGGCGGGTTTGCTTCTCGCCGGATGATCCCAACGTTGTTGCGGATTCTGTTGCTGATGTGGTACTTCAGGGTATGGAACTTTTTATTCCTTCCTCTGTGGTGTCCATTGGAGGCAAATCTCAGCCATGGTTTGGTCGCTCCTGTAAAATAGCATCATGCTATAAGCAGGAGTGCTACCAAGCCTGGGTTGATGCATCAGCGTCCCGGGATGTAAACACCAGCGCTCTAAAAAAGAAGTATAATTCCGCCTCTAGGTCCTTCAAAAGAGTCATTGCCAAGGCAAAGTCAGAGTTCTGGTCTCTCGCCAAGGCTGTCCAGGGGAATTTCTGTCAGCCATCTCTTCCATCTCTGCACAGGGAGGACGACTCACTGGCCCATACTGCAAAGGAGAAAGCCGATCTTCTAGGCTCTTTCTTTGCGTCTAACTCGACTCTCGATGACATTTGACATTGAAATTTACATATTATAAGAATTGTAAGAATTATAATGATAAGATTTCATTTGATTGATATAAATGATTTAATTCAAGTTCTTAACTTTAGAATTTCGAAAAAAATACATCTTTTTTATAAATTTATAAACTAATTATATGCAACTTTATTATAAATTATTAACGGAAGGTAAAATATAATGCCTTCGTTTTTAATTTCTATTTAAATAAATGTGTTGTATTTTCCTATAGTTGCTTAGACGGCAATGTAGATTTTTACCGCAGCTCCAAATAAATGATTTTAAATTAGATTATTTGTAACAGCTATGTATTATCTGGCTTATATGTTATATTCAACAACACTTAAAAAACACTTAACGAATGTAGAAGCCTGCTTTTTTACTGTTCCACGATGGGATTAGTTAGTAGACTGTACGCCCAGGCTAATTAAACATCAACATGTAAAATTCTGAAAGAACATCTACCCAGTAAATTTTGAGTGAATCGTAAATAACAAAAATTATATTTGGCATCAACACATTTTGCCCAAACTCCTAAGCTGTTTTTTCAAAAAAATATTAGAATTACACTCACGATTTTTCTACAGATTTATTTTATGTAATGGATTATTTCCGATTAGAAAGTATGGACATCTACAAAAGGTTTATTCATTTTTTACACTTAATTATCCTGATGAGATAATAGCGTGATCGTCTTGTTTTCATTTACAATATGATTCTCGTAATTCCTGACAATATTTCCCGCCAAGGAAAATATTTCATAACATTAATTGTACAAACGCCTGTTATCGAAAGCAGTGCGGTAAATGAAAAATTAATTTAAATTTTCCGCTCAGAATAGAATTATTTTTACTTAATTTAGAATACGGGAATAATTATTGAAATTAATTTTTGACTTTTACATTGGTTTTTACTTTTAAAGCGGTGGTAGAGCCACGCGGCAGCCTTGGCTGTTGCATGTATGGGCCGGCTCGAACCGGGGTGGTACCGCGACCTCACAGAAGATCAGCGTGAGGTAGAAGCTCTGCTTCTGCATTTCTTCTGGTGTGTGCAGTGGCTGGAGGCCCAATCCTCCCAGCAAGGGGGGCCTTTGCATGATAGCAGAGTTAAATAGTGTACCAGCACTCCGGTGACGGAGAATCCCTTGCTGAACATCCACGCCCAAGCTACCCTACTCCTCCTGAGCGTGGGTACTCAGGCTGCCCCACATATTCTGGGGGGTGGGGAATTCCGCTCGTGACTAAACCTGCTCGAAGCAAACGGAGCAATAGGTCAAAGGCACTCCCTGCCACGCTACTTCATTCAAAACTAAACACCATCCACTACCATCTGGTAACGGCATAGCCGGCCTTGTTCTTTTTAGGCGATACACAGGTGTCCTCTTCGGGTGGACCTCCTACCTGAGGTGCAATTAAGAATACTCCATAGTTTTTTTTATATAACGTGCCCTGGGATGGAGTTTGCATATACGTCAGAGAGAATATCTGTTTTGACGCCTCGGCAGCCTTGAAGTTATGGACCTGTCCATCATATGGTTGGTATAGGTGCTCTATCCTCTTGACTACCACCGTACTTAATGTAGTACATAGAAATTTAAAAATTCTACCAAAAATGTTTGAAATGGCAAACCTTTTTCGATGCTGCAATGCCATCTGTTAGTTCTTTTTGAGTAATTTTCGTCCATATTGCACTCCGTCACATCTGTCATTTCATTAAAAATGGCGTCCAAAGCAAGTGAAGTAGGAGCGCGCTCGCACAGACGTAAGTTTATCCATGTTAATCTCTAATGTGTGTTTGATAATATGCACTATTTTTGTATATTTTACCTAAAATAAGATTATTTGTTTGATTTGTACCTACATTTATGGGAAACTTGCAAAATTCAGTACACTATAACCTCAAACATTTTTATGTCGTATGTATTTATGTGTGTATGTTTTACCCACGTACTGCACAAAGTACATTGCAAAACTTTTGGGATTATTTATGAGTTTTCACTTTTATTTCAGCCATGAATGATGAAAATATCGCTGACGCACTAAATGAATCTGAATTCGACTATTCGAGTGATGATTCAGATTGTGATCTGACCTTCAAACCTCCGGAACTCGACTGTCATGTTGTTGCAATTGGTGCTAATGATTCCGATACGGACATTACAGACTTGGATGATTCAGATATTGCTACTATCTGAACAAAGGAACACCCACCGAAAAAAGAAAAAAAAAACCCCGAATCAGATTACCCTGCACCTTCACCTACGTTATCTACTGACTCCAGGGCTTTAAGGTCACGAGGAAGAGCACAAAGCAGACGACCAAGCAGAGGTCATTCACTTACAAATTCTCGTGTATTCACACTTCGCGGAAACTCTGAAAATGACAGTGAGTCACTTAGATAAATGGTCAGCAGATGCCTTTGAGCCAGAAGCCAGAAAGTTTAATGCAACCAGCTTACCTGGTCGTAGATTCCACTGATTGGGAGTGGCAATCATTCTACGAACAATATATTACTGATGACATCCTGACTACCATTACTGATTGCACAAATAGGACCAACATATTGCATAAAGGAAAAACACTGGGACTAACAATAAAAGAACTAAAAGTTTTCCTTGGAATAACGATGGTTATGTCTGCCCTCCAATATCCCCAAATCAATATGTATTGGTCAGGAAAATACAGAGTGAACATTATTGCTTTAGCCATGACTCGAACCAGATTTTATGCTATCATGACGCAATAAAAATGTGTATACGATGCTGGTGTTACTCTGGAGCAGAAAGAGGAAAAAATCTGGAAAGTTAAACCATTATTTGATTGTATTTTGAATGGCTGCCATCAACAATATCGTCCACAAGATATGTGCATCGATGAAATGTTATTTCTTTTCACTGGGCGATGCCATATGCGACAATATTGTCCACACAAGCCAAAACCAGTTGGCCTCAAAGTGTTTGTCCTTGCGTCACCACAAGGTATTGTATGTGATATGATAATTTATCAAGGATACAAAACTTTTCCAGAGCTTAACTCTCAAGGGTTTGGATTGGGTGAATCAGCCGTCCTACATCTTACGCGAACTCTAGTCCCAGGGCATTCCCTATACTTTGATCGCTACTTCACCTCGGTGAATTTGTGCGACGAATTAATCAAAAGAGGATTTCATGGAACTGGTACTATACAGAGAGGAAGAATCCCGAAAGATTGTAAGTTGACTCCAGAAAAAGAATTCAAGAAACTTCCACGAGGTTCAAGTGAAGTGAAGGTGCGAGAAGACGGCCAACTTGCAATAACAATGTGGCTTGACAACAAGCCCGTGATGATGATGTCTTCTCTCTATAGCAATAAAAATGAAGATGACTGTGAGCGATGGTCAAAAAAGAAGAAAGGCTACGAAAGAGTGAAAAGGCCGAAAGTCATTAAAAAATACAATCAAAATATGGGAGGAGTGGACCTCGCTGATTGCATGCTGTCTGTGTGCCCCTCACGAAGCAGAACTATCAAATGGACTGTAAGAGTGATATCGCATCTCTTTGATTTGGCGGTTGTCAATTCGTGGTTCCAATATCGAGCTACAAAGTTAGAAAAAAACACAAACAGGGCCCTTATATGGAAACTTCGAGATTATAAGCTTAACTTGGGTACCAAGCTGATTGAAGATAATGACACGGAGAGTGATAGCGAGAGTAATCCAGACCAACTGAAAGAGTTGGAACCAAAACATAAGAAGCGCAAAGTTATAATCAAACCAGTTCCATCCAAACAAAGACGCCTTCAGAAAGCATCCCATATGCCTGATTATGGACCAAAGCAATCAAGATGCAGAAATAAATCTTGCGACAAAAAGACCACAGTCTTCTGCAAAAGATGTGAAGTATACCTATGTTTCGTGCCTAACAGAAACTGCTTTGCAAGTTTTCATGAGATAGTTGAGGAATTATTTCTATTTTGTTTCATTTTATTCTTGTTGATTTTTAGAAGCTTTGTTTTTTTCACTTAAGATCTCTTATTATGAGGCTGATTATTCAATTATTAAGATAAGGATAAACTTTAAGTTGTTAACATTGATCTCTCAAATATAGTGTTAGTTGAAAACATATTAAGAGTAAAAATACTATTTTTTTATCTCCGTTTTAAGAGAGTAAATGAACAAGACGTTAAGTTTTTGAAAGATTTATTAAAAATTGTGCTTCAACATTTTTTTTACTTTTTATTTTTTAAATTCATACGCAATGTTACGAAAGTCTAGCTGGTTTAAATCAGATGTAACGCTTATGTCCTACTAGAATTACATCTAAATTAGCTACAATTGTACTTTATAAAGAACATAAGGAAAAGCTAGATTTTCCGGACATGGATTTTTTTCACTATTTTTCCCTAAATACTTATGCTTTAAATAATAACCCATAGAAGTTTCATGAAAATACTTAAACTTTAGGCTTCCTGGTCGTCAGGAGGCTATAATACCCATAGTGGCAATGCCGACACCGACCGACTCATTGACTACGTCTATATGGCTGCAGACTCCGTGCTACAACAGGCCTCATTCGCAGAGATTGTGATGCTTGGTGATTTTAACGTTTGCTTCTCACCGGAAGATACCAGCATTGTTGCTGATTCGGTTGCTAATGTTGTGCTACAGAGAATGGAACTTTTAATTCCATCATCTGTTGTACCTATCGTAGGCAGAACCCAACTATGGTTTGGTCACTCCTGCAAAATGGCATTAAGCCATAAGCAAAAGTGCTATCAGCCCGGGGATCACGCATCATCGTCTCGGTATGCAAATACCAGCGCTCTTAAAAAGAAATATAATTCCGCCTCCAGACCCTCAAAGTTTCATTGTCAAGGCAATTCAGAGCACACCGGCAGAATATGCGAAAAACTAGTTCTTCTTCCTTCGAGAATACGTGCATTCTGTTTGCACAAGGCGCAGGTTCGGTCGCACATGGATTACTTTTCCCATCTCTGGGCCGGGACTTCCCAGTGTCAGCTCCTTCCATTTGATCGCATCCGGTTCAGAACTGTTCCAATCGTCGGCAACCGCGCTCTTAACGATCTGCTTGACTCACTGGCACTGCGAAGAAATATTGCATCTCTTTGCATATTTTATGGCATCTACCACGGAGAGTGCTCTGAGGGATTGTTCGGACTAATTCCAGCCGCACAATTTTACTTTCGCATATCGCGACAAAACTAGCGATACCATCCATACTATCTGGATGACTGGCGGTCCACCACCGTGCGATTTAAAAGAAGTTTTTTTTCCTCGCACAACTTTCTTGTGGAAGCGACTACCACCGTTGTTTTTTGGACCGATACGACTTAGGGACCTTCAAGAAAAGAGGATCTTTTTTTTAAAAGGCCGACAACGCATCTGAAATTCCCCTGGTGTTGCAGTTGTTCAAGGGCGGCGTTAATCACTTACCATCAGGTGAGCCATATGCTAGTTTGCCCCTCTCTTTTGCCATCTGCTCTGTCTTGGAAAGAACCAACCTAAACTTTAGCGGGACTTTAAAAAAATAACTTACAATATAATTATATTTATATATAACTGTAATGAAATCATTTAGAAACAAGATGGTAGCGATCACCACATTTCCTGAGATTATTGTCAATCATGTAATCTTTATAGTATAATAACCATTACCAAACCATATTACTTAATAAATGTTTAACCTTTTGATAGATAAGTTCTGCACTTTTTTTTGGGACTTTGTTGTAAGAGTTTGTATATTGGCCCACGAAGGAATTACTTACTCTTTGAAGTCGAGTAATCACTATTGAATTGAATTGAATGTAAATCACTATTTTAATAAAACTTTTGTGTTTTTGTGTACATCCTTTAAATTTTCTTAAATATATTGGGAAATCAAAGTTAATATAATTATTTCTTTAAATTTTTGGCTTAAAGATTCCTTCAGACCAGTGGATTCAAAAAGACTTAGGCCTTCCCCATTTAAAATCACACTGGTATTCAACTGTTTAACATTTGGTGTTATTAATTTAATACAATTCTTCATATAACTGCTCTCATTAATAACTACAGTTAACGTTTTATTATTTAAATATGATGTAATAAGTTTAAGTTCTATATTTTTTACACCATAATAATTTAGCCTCCTGATAAATGTTTAATGGTGAACACGCAAGCATTGTAAAGCTCACAAAATATACCCAATGCATTCATTGAATTCATTGCATCATTTGTTGAGCTGTTGAACTTCTTCTAGGAAATATCATGGCTCAAATAACCACGTTATTCCTGCCCACACGCAAAATACGTGCTTAGACGTGGAGTTACGGAAAACAGCCCGTCGTAAACTAAACCAAAAACGCTAGCGATTTTTCTTTACCTTATGTAAATAATTTATAAATTAGTTGCACATAAATAATTTATAAGTTTATAAAAAAAAAATATTTTATATTGCTTCCAAGATTCTCATTTCTAATTTTAACTAATTTTCAGTTTTTCGAAAAATATGTGTTGTTTTTATTTTTTTTAAACTATTAGTCCTAGGACTGCACGTCAGAAGTGAAAACTTCATAACTTCACAAACTTGTAAACGTTAATTATTTGTACTCATATATACTTGTAAATATTAATGTATCTGAGCATGAGGGCCACGATAAATTAGTACTTTTCCCCCACGGAGCAAATACAAAGAGGAGACGGCCTAAGCAACCGTGCACTGTGATTTTAACTAGGTCCTGTCGTCATCACAGTGGGCGTGGCTTTAGTTAGTATACTGTCAGCGTTTATCCTGTGCACATAGGTGTCGAAAATTGCAAATCGGTGTATTTTCAAAGAATTAAGAAGAAAATGATATGTGTTTTATCGTGTAAAATCTACTCAGATAGACGCTCTGATGCTATGGATGGTATCACATGTCATGTGTTAGGAATTATATGCCTAATTTATTAAAATATTTCTAGAAAAAATCTCTTTACGTCGGCTTTCAAATATAATTAAATATATTCGACACTAGATGGTGACACTTTGTGTAGTGGGAACTAAAAATATAAAGGTACGTCGAGCTCTGTATTGATAAAACAATCACACGAAAGTGCTGAAATTGGTTTTTTTTTCGAAATTGGTTTCAGTCCTAAAGAATTTTTAATCGCCCAAATATAATTTTTATAGTTTTTATAATCATTTTGTAAGGAGGCCGCCATCTAAAATAACAAAAAA